ATCAAACAGACCAGCATAGGTGCATTTGAAATTCGAGAAAAGAGGGAATTTGGCAGAAGAAATATTTGAATAGACAACTGCAAAGAGTTTTCCTAAAGTAGTGAAACAAGGCCAACAGTAAGTCAAGAGAAAACCTCAAGCAGAGTAAATACCAGAAGAAGAAGGAAGGAGAGAAAGGGAAGGATCAAGCCTACGAGGTGCAAACAACTAAATATCAAATATAAAAGGGGAATCTTGAAAGGGGCAAGAGAAAAAAACAAAGATAAGAATATAGTAAACTGGGCCCAGTGATGCACACCTATAATCCCGGCTACTTAGGATACTGTGGCAAGAACATGGCAAATCCAAGGTCAGCTTCAGCAACTTAGTGAGACTCTATCTCAAAATAAAATTTACCAAGAGAGAAAGAGAGAGAGGCAGGGGGAGGAAGGGAGAAGGAAGGGAGGGAGGGAAGGAAGAGAAAGAGAGAGAGCATGAGCAAACACACTGGGGTATGGCTCAGCTGTAGAGTGCTTGCCTCACATGTATGAGGCCCTGGGTTCAATCCCCAGCAGCACAAAAAAAAAAAAAAAAAAAAAAAAGAACTTATCAGATTTCTTGTGAGAATATCCAAAATATCCTTCTACTCAGTAATTCCACTTCTAAGTATATAGACTAGAAAATATCTTTCATAAGAAGACTTTTTGCAGTACTATTTGTATAGAAAAAAAAAGTTGTCAGTTATTTCAATGTCCCTCAAAAGAACAGACAAATTCACTATGGAATATGCATGAAATGCAATTAAAATTTAATGAAATGAGTTATGCAATTATGCTAACAGAGAAACTTCAAAACCCTGATTTTATGCAAAAAACAAGTTGAAGAATTTATATAATAGTAATATAGGAATGTGTAATATAATAGTATAGTGTTTATCTAAAATTTGAAAAATATGAAAGGCTACAGGACAACTTTTACAATCATATAAACATTTGAGAAAAGTACAAAAGCATGCGTGAATGTAAAGCACCAATTCATGACAACAGTGACCAGACAGGGAGAGGAATAGTATCAAGGGTGTTCACACAGTGGGCTGGGAATGTTGCTCAGAAGTAGAACACGTGCCTTGAATGTGGAAGCCCTGGGTCCCATCCCCAGCACCAAGAGCAAACAAAAAAAGAAAGGAAGGAAGGAAGAAATGAAAATTCACCCAGTGAGTTTAATCTATTTTAAAATCTGAAGTAAACGTATCATAGATTTTATAAAGCTAAAAAAAGGTGCTCTGAATAGAGTTGTTTGTATCATTCTCTAGTCTTTGCAAATTTGAAATACTTCACAATAAAAAAAGAGAAGGCATTAAACAATAGTTATTTGCATATGGTGGGATTATATAACAATAATGAGGAAAACTGTTAGAATGAATAAAAGCTCTGATACAAAATAAACATCTAAAAATCAATAGAATTAAATAAACTAATAAGAATAAATAAATAACAATTTAAAATCTGTTATTATTGGCAATAACATATGCAAATGGTTGATGGGGGAGAGCCATCCCATTTTCAATGACCAAAATATAAAATATCCAGGAAGACTCCCAACAAGAACATGTAGGAACTTTATTAAGCTACAAATTTTACTGAGAAATTGTACTAACTCTGAAATACGATGGACATTCCACACCAGTATTATCCCTTCCCATGTGGAATCCAAAGCTGAGACAGTTCTGAGCTTTCCCAAGACGGCTCACCTAGTTGCTGACCAGTCAAGGAGGAACTCAGCTCTGGCTGCTTTCTCAGACCTAGAAGTCAGCAGGTGTGTTTGCTCATTTCCCACCAGCAGCATTTTCAAAGACTTTTTACTAAAATTTGGTAATTTTAGTAGTTGAAAAAAAATCTTAAGAGACTATCAGTGCGGCGAACATTTCTGTGTGAAGTGTGACATGACCTCCTCTTTTCTTGTGCATGGCTTGCCTTCTCTCTCTCCTCTCCCTACTTCATTTTAGAGCTAAATCTTATAAACGTCCCTTTCATTCTGAGCTCCTCACCTTCGATTCTTCATGGGTAAATCATCGGTGTAGAGGGTTGGACATTCCCATTTAAGACTCCAATCCTGAACCTGAAGAACACAAAGCAAGTTCCCTTGCAGCTCTGAGGAGACCTGGGATCAGGACCCTACTTCCTGGATCACGACCTATTGCTGAGGAATGCCCTTCCCCCATCCCCACCCTGTCAAACAGAGGTCTCCTGCAGGGAGGAGAGGGCAAGAGAGTTCATTAATTAGTTAACGTGTATTCTGAAATGAAAACTGATCCTGTCTTCAATGGATAATAAGGAAAACCTGACATTTTGTCTCAGGGTTTGAAACAGGAACTTATTATTTTGTCTTTCTTGCACTTTTCAAAACTTCACGAATTCTGAAGCCAAGGCTGTGTGGAATTCAGAGCCACCTGGTCCTGTAAGCAGCAGACAATGCTTTGGGAACAGACTGAAACTAGTCTGCATTTTTTGTTCCTTCGGGGGGTCAAAGAGATTGGTCTTGCAGCAGGAAAACTTTTAAGTTTCAAAAGGATGAAGTTTGAAGCCTGTGTATACAGAAATCATTTTCTCCCAAGTTTAATAGTAAATAAATAAATAAGTTATTTTTTATCTAAATTTTAAAGCAGCAAAGTGTGGATAATGTTGAACATGGAATACTGGCACACAGGGGAGAAATGCCCCCCAATCAAGCTGAAGAACAGATTCATGCCTAATTCCTCAAGTTTGGGGTTTTCAAAGGAAAGGTGTTATCCACGTTATGACCAGCAGATGGCAACATAACTCAAGAAAAGAAGCCGACTTCTTAAAACTCAGACACAGAAGTTGTAGTTAGTTCTCGCAATTTTTGAAGGAATCTATATACACATTTGAAATTAGAAATGTGGAAGAACACCTGTGTTTACAGGAAGAGTGTTCATGAGTACTCTCAAACAATCCTTGACATGCCTACTCATTCCCTGACCCTTGGCAAGAACTCTGTGGTCCCCAGGGGTCCTGGATCCTTGAGGGGAAACCAGGACTCCCATTAGCCCTTTCTTCTTTCTCACTCCCACCCAGCAGGCCACTGAAAGTTTGGAGAAACTGATGAAAATTAAAAAGACAGAGTGGGTTAAAACTCCTCACTTTCTACATAGCTAAGTCTTTCAACTCTATTATAAATTACAAGGATTCTTGCTTTTCAATTAAATTTTTAATGAAGAAAACATCATGCCAATCAGGGCCTCTGTGGAAATGAAGAGTCTCCCAAAGGGAATGATATTTATAGTGGACATTATTCACATGAGATCTGGAATCCTGGGAGGGGAGACAGACATTTCTATTTATATTAGCTATGTGACCTTGAGCAAGTTACTCAACCTCACTCAGTTTCTGTTTCCCACCTGAAAAATAGCTCAGTTCTGAACTCGAAGAGTTTTTGTGAGAATTAAATGAGATAATTTGCATAAGGCATTTAAAGCAAGAGCTGGCACGGACAGTACAAGTACTCAATATCATTGGCTTCCACAGTTATTACTATCAGCATTATTGCGACTCCTATCATTGTCACTTGTATCACAGTAGGGTGTGATTGAACGTGGAACTTCACAAATGAGACTCCTTTAGTGAGTTCATTTCTGCAGGAGTGGTGTCATATCGTGGGTGACAGCTAATCATCCATGGTGTCCCTTGGTTTTCAACATTTCCAAAGTGTTCTCAGAAAGCAGGGGTGACATTTCTTCCTTGGTATGCCAACATCAGGTGCCCTGGCTCTTATTCAAAATCTCGGAGGTGAAACATCTTAGGGGAACAGCTTCAAACATCATCCGTGCCGGAGCTGCTGTCCCTGGAGCAGATTAAGGTCACGCTGAGCAAGCAGTCTATGCGTGTGTGGCTACCTGGGCATGTGAGTGTGTGGAGCTCCAGCATTTTTTTAAAAACCACCTGAAAACCTGAACCCCATGTCCAATGATACTCTTCCTACTGCTTCCTAAAGCAAATGCAAAATGTGTTTCTTTGAATAAGAGAAGGAGGAAGAAACAAGAAACATATAGAGACACACATACAATACCATACCCAAAGGTCACATATTTGTCGAAGTCATATTCCCCCTTTGGCTTCCCACTTTCTTATCCCAAGTAACAGCGATCTTTGTTAAGGTCATTAAGAGCAATGGGGGACTAGACTCCAGCAGGGATCTGCCAGACCTCCCCCACCACAGGGTCCTTTCCCACAGTCACCACAGGCGGGGACTTTACCAGGATGCCAGACACAGCTGAGAGCAGGTCGGGGGAGGTCTACTATTTGGGGCTGTTAATTGTGTGTGGTGATGGTAAAGAAGGAGCAGTTTATGTCCTTGACACTGAACCATCTGGGCCATGATATTTCTGATGCCACCGCAAAGCAAGTAGCACTCAAACACTGATCATTCACAACCCGGGAGCTTGCTAAGTATAATTTGAGAAGGGAAACAGCAGCAGGTCCATACTCAGCTTAGAGAAGAGTGTGATCTGGGATAAACTTTCCTAATGTCCTGCCCTGACCCATCATGAGATTTTCAGAGAGTAGCCTCAAAGAGGCTAATACTACACCGATACGTTTTCCCCTGAAGAACAACACCTCTGGTTGACAACAGAACATACTGACCCACCCTATGAGGTTACGTTAAGTGAAAGAATTTTAAAAAGTCGTGTCATAACAGGTCTAGCATGGAGAAGCTCCAGTTCTCAGTAAAGATGGCCAGATTGACTGTCCTCAGCCCAGTACCTCATCCTCAGATGAATTAGCCATGGCCAAGAGATAGGAGTGACAGAGGTCAGCCCAATATGACTCAAGCCACCAGGATTACTGTGTCTCTAGCAGCCACAAGAGGTGTGATGATGGTCGCATCCTCAGAGCTCATTCCCTGCCATACTGAACTCTTATCTTCCCAATGGTTCTTTCCCAATGACATCCCAGTGGACACCGTCACCCTGACCCGAGGAAAGCCCATCATCCCACACTTACTTATCATTCACAAGTTTCCCGTGTTGGTGGATCTGATTTTCCATCGTGAAGTTGATTGTGGCACCATACACGTGCTCACCGAAGAATACCTTCATTTTAGACTTGTATTCTTCATCTTGAAAATACCGGATCATATCGGGAAACCAGACCGTCAGGCCATAGTAACTGTAACGAGGAAGACGGACAGTCTGAGCAGCCGTGTGATTGAATTCCTCAGAACCAGAGTCTGCACTCCTCACCAGAGGGAGATCAGACTCCTTTCAGACATAGGAATCTGGTTCACGAATAGAAAAATCTAATGATATGCCTCATCATAAGGAAAACTTAGGACCATCTCCACAGATTTGGATTTGATTTTAAAAAATCAGTCTTGATTTTAGAAACACCAAGGAGTAAGGTTTGGTGGACACTTCCTTAATACATAAGGAATAAAAATCACATTTCAGTTCAAACAGCAGAATCTTAGTGAATCATGAAACACTAAAGACATTGCCAGTAACATCAGGAACAGGACAAAACATCACCATCACTTCTTAACAGAACACTGCAGGTCTTCACCAATTCAGATGAGGGAAAAAACTTAGGAATGTCACAAATTGCAAAGCAAGAGGTAAAACTACCTCTACAGGCAGATGATATGATTTTTATGCCTGGAAAACTCAAAATAACCAACTCAAAAAAATGAGCATTAAACATATGAAAAAAAGATGCTCAACTCTATAGATAGAAAGAAAAATACAAATTAAAATCACACTGTTAGTTCTCATCACAGATTGTCAAAACACCAAAGTTTGCTAAATCACTCTGTAGGTTAACAGGTGCTGTCATAAATGCTGAGGAAAAAGACAAAATTGAACAATGCCTTGTGGAGGAGGACTTGTCAATGCCTAAAAATATGACAGATGAACTGGACCCTTTGACCCTTTAGCTCTACTTGCAGGAATCCATTCCATTGATAAACCAGTCTCCACAAAAAGTAGCTTACAAACACGGCTCCTCATTTTGGCATTGTTTACACAACAAAAATCTGGAACTGTCCCACCAGTCCTGCAATGAGGGCCTGGTTGAATAAATTGTGATAATTTACAGTGGGGGGCTAGGCAGAGGAACTATGTGCTATAAAGAAGAATGAAGAAAACCTTAATTTACTGGCATGGAGAGATTTCCAGAATACATCACTGAGTGTAAAAAGCAAATGCAAAATGTGTTTCTTTGAATAAGAGAAGAAAAAACAAAAAAGAAATATACATGCACATACATATATACATATATATATATATATATATATATCGTGTGCGTATACACACACATACAATTATTTGTTTACATTTACAAAAAGAATCACTGGGATAATAAATAGAAAAATGGAAGGTGATTACATACTGGAGGAAGAAGGGAGTGGGTGGAGGGAGAGGGAACGGATTCAAGATTCCTGTGTTGTTTCAACATTTGAATGCATTACCTATTCAATGAAATTAAATTAAACATAAATAAATATGAATAAAACATTTTTAACACCATCAGTGAATTAATCCTAGTGTCTGTCCTTTGACTCCTAGTTGGGATTGAACAATTTGAGGGATGCTAGTTCAGGCTTCTTCTATACCTTTAGCTGTTTGTTTGCGTCTCAAAGGTCAGGTCTCCACACACAGGTGCTGGAGAACATTAAGTCTCCCCATGTTGTTCCCACAATCAGAGGTCATGAGAGCCACTTTGCTTTCCTGGGGTGAAGGAGTATTTGGGGATACAGGTGGTGGTGAACAAAGCAATTTCCCAGATAGAAGTTTAAAATATTGTTAATATTTCCAAGTTGATAATAGCAATATATTGAGTACTTATTAAGTGCCAGAAACTATTGCAAGTACTTGAAACATACAGTAAAACGTCCCTACAATGCCCCCAAGTGGGCCCCAAAACACACATAAAGAGTAAAGTCATGTTAGCTGGAGGCCACTGGAGTGACTTGGTGTAAGCCTGCAACTTCTCAGAGGAGTCAGCTAAGCACCCCTTTGCTGCAGGGCAGTGTTGCATGGGTCCCCTGTTCAATCTTTCCTATATTCTCAGCAACATATATTTGTCTTCTCCACACTTGTTCCCTGCTACCTCTCTGTGAACAGAAACTTTTTCCCATTCAGGTGTCAACTCTTAGGAAAGGATGGAACTTGTAGGTAAATCCTGATTTGCTCAAAACATTGGGAAATTCCATCCCCTTCATTATGATGAATTTAGCCTGTAAGCCACCTCTGCCTACTTTAACAGGAGGGAAAACTGACTGGGAACCTTCAGAGAAAAGTTCTCTGGCATTAAAAAAGGAAGTTCTGTAATGAGCAATTTGCTAACAATTAGCAATTAGCAATCAGTTAACAATATCATATTGTTTACTTGAAATCTGCTAAAAGGAGAGATCATAAGTGTTCTCAACACACACACACAGACGTTAGCTATATGATGGGCACACTCATTAGCTTGATTGAGGCCACTAATTTACAATGTGTGTGTTTATGAAAACATTAATTTATAAACCTTAAATAGACACAATAATTATGCATCAATTATACCTCAGTATGGATGGGAGAGGGAGTCAGGACAGAATACATCCTGCAGTCACCATGAGAGCCAGCCTGAAGCTGAAACCCCTCCTGCAGTCCACTTCTCCCAGAATTCTTGCTGGAACTAAATATTTCCTCTAACAGAAGCCACTAGCATATGCTGCCTGTGCCCTGCAGCCAAAAGCATCCGCTCCGATACAAACTCTCCAAGTTAGAACCCATTATCCTCCATGTGCAAAGGAAGAAACTGAGGCACAGGAGAATGGAGAAGCTCACATAAGACAGAACTTACCTCAAAGCCATGGTAAACCAGACCACAGCCAAAATCAGCGTGTTCATTCTGTAAGGTCCCATCACACAGTACAGAGCGTTATCCCAGACCTAAAACCCATACCAGAGAAGGTCGGTTAAAGGAAGAAACTTGGGAAAGCCCACGTACCAGATTTTCTAATAAATGGCCTAATCAATGACCTAGAACCCCATGTAGAGAATGAGCAATCCATTATCCCTCAGAGGCAGTAGATCTGTCCACATGCCAAGGAGAGCTTCCCGTCACTCTTCTCCTGGGAACACATGCATGTGACAGAAAGCACACCAAATCAGGATTTCAGGGCCCTGAGCAACCCGGAGCAGTGAGGCCTTCCTGTGCTGGCAGGGGCAATAGAACACGTGATTATTGACCACACAATATGAGCAACGTCCAGTCTCTACAGATTCTGGCTGGTCAGCTATCTCAATGCTCAATAGCTGACCTGTTCCAGAGAAATGGCTTTGCCCTGTATGGAGAATCCTTCCCCTAGGTCACTAAAAACCCCAAGGAGCCATTTATGACATTCACTTCTCTATCCAGCAAGAGACATTGCTAGCGAGAAGGATGCTTACTCAGGCTGGTCAAGTTCTTGCCTTGAGAAAGATGAGCAAAGGAAATGTCTGAGGCTCAGGAAGTTTGCACCCTGAGGGCACTTGGCAAGTTAAAGGCAGTCCTGGGCTGCAACCCCACATCCCCCACAAGATGCTTCCTCTCCAGCTCCCTGTTCTGGTTGATAAAGTGTTCTGGGTTTTTATTCTTCATCCACTAAGGGTATGGGTTCCCACGGAGCCATTCTCCCACCCCAACATATGTCCCCAGTTCATACCTGCTTGAAAGTGGTACTGAATCTGACCAGCCAGCGCTGGTACCAAGTTCCTGTTGAACTTTGGATCTCAATGAATTCATCCATTTGCTTGGGAGTTTTGATGTGGGAAACCTGAAAAGCAAAGCTGGTGTAGAGAATCTCTACCTCACTTTGTCTTCAGAATTTCATTCCGAAGTCTACCTAATTGACTTGATTAACATACTTAGGTGAGAAGAGTGTGACCCTCTAGTTTTGTGATTTGGGGCCAAAAGTGTGCATAGTGTCTCTTAGGGAACTTTCTTGGATGGATATATCTCAGTGAAACAAAATGTTCAGAATA